CGGGGAGTGCATCTCCTGAGGTAACCCCCATGATTCCGTTGCAGGTGCGCTTGGCAATAGCCGAAAAAGCCCTGAAGTGCGAAGAGCACGATGTAAACCTGCCGCTGAGCGAGCACAACGAGCCATGGTTCATGCGCTTAAATTCCTCTGGAGAAGTACCTGTCCTGATCCATGGGGAAAACATCATTTGTGAGGCAACACAGATTATTGATTACCTTGAAGCAACGTTTGTAGATGGTAAGCCCATAGGTGTTTTGGTGTGAAATGCTTCCCCACGTACCCATAGCGGGCAGCCGTGTTGGGGTCAGCTCCATACTGCTACGTGTTGGTTCTTTCAGGAGCAGAAAACATTTATAGTCTCACAAGTAAACAGGCTTTCCTAATAGTTGGTGATGCGGGGTAAAAACACATTCCTTTAAAATGAACTGAAGGCCTTCCAGTGCCTTTACAACCAGCTGTAAATAAAAACCTAGCAGTGTCCTCCTTACCCCTTGAGGAAGGATGGAGAAGTCGGTAATGGCACCGCTGTGCTGTGAGACTGCCGTGAAAAATAACATGTGGAACAGAGCTGCACAATGGCTGTTGTCAGGCAGGTCCTGCTTTTCTGTGAGGAAAAAAGAAAGATGTTTAATTCCAGAATACTCTTAGGTGGAAAAAAGAAATAGATAGAATTATTCTTGGAGCCAAAATGGAGTGAAGAGGTAAAAAAGAAGGCAGAAGAAACTCTGGAAGTGATCCTGTGCAGACTTTGTAAATTCTTTGTGTCTGTATTGCTAGAAAACAGACTGCCTCAATTTTTGAAGGAAATGCAGAGTTGTATTTTTTTTAGGTGTTGAGAGGCAGCATTTTGTGTTTCAGGGGTTTAGCACTGTGATTTCTAAGGCATGAAGAAAATCTCATTGTTGGGTGAACTTAATGTGTATTTAATGCAGATGTTTTCATCAAATGAGGAGTTGGGGCCCAGGTAGATTGAGGGCAGGGTGAATCTCAGTGGGGTGCAGGAATACTTGTTACCATACTTTGAGTAGGATTCCTGTAGTGTAATTTTTACAGCATTTCAACCATAACAACTTAGTAGAATCTCGGTTGTGCCCTACTGTGAGAGCGCTAAAGGGTTGTGTGTCATGGTCGCCCATTCCTAGAAGTGCAAAACAGATGCTGAATCTGATTTTCTGATTTGAAGGCTTCTTAAATATGTGTTCATATAGGTTGCTGCATAGGAATTGGAATTATTCAAATGTTTGAAAATGAAGTGTGTTTTTTGAAAATGAATGTGTGTTTCTCTGAGTTGTGATAGCATTGTTGAGTTACGGTGGGGAACAAGTGAAGCTTTCTTAACTGCAGCCATGTCATCTGTGCCAGTTGGACATAACTGAAGTAACTTTGGAAGTACTGCTTTTGGTCAATTACATGGTTCTTCTTGTCCTAATTTTATTTTTAACTTTATATTGCAGAGGCAGTACCAAGATTAATGCCAGAAGAAGGGAGCATGTATTATCCAAGGGTGCAACACTACAGAGAGCTTTTAGACTCCTTGCCTATGGATGCCTACACGCATGGCTGCATCCTGCACCCCGAGTTAACAGTGGACTCCATGATTCCAGCCTATGCTACCAGCAGAATTCGTAGTATGTACTGGTATAGCTCTGAATGCCTATCGGTTAATAGGATGTTGTGTTACATTCATCTCGTCTTCACTGCACCTGAAGCAGAATATATTGATATTCTGATACCTATATTGAGCACGGTTTTCCAATTTAGTTGCAGTCCTTGATAATTTGTGCATATACTTTTTATTGATTGCATAGTCTGTTATGATTTGAAAACTGGAAAGAGGAAGTGTCATTTTTGAGGTGTTTGTGCAGTTTTCCTAATGATGGAAAATGTGCTTCTTGTGCATAACAGAAAATGGCAGCTGTGACAGCTGTGAGCATTTTATTTTCTGATTTTGCTGTTTATGCTTATAAAGCAGTTTCTAGGGAACAGCTCTATTACTGCTCAAACCACTGCACTGAAGGAAACCCATTTTTTGTGATTGTAAGCTTGTAATAAGTTTATCTATTTCAGTTCTCATAGCTCCCCCCACCCCCCCGATTTGGATGCCAGAACTCGACGGCAAATTCTGTTCACTTTGGTATCAGATAGGGAAATAAATATTTAATTCTTTGTTCTTGTTTTTTTTTTTTTCATTGTATGTATGTTCAGGGGCTCTAGTGTTACTTTCAACCACAGAACTGCACTGGGAGTCCTTGTTGAGCTGGTCGTGGATCATAACCTCAGTCTAGCTTTTCAGGACTGCTTGCAAACTTACAGCCCTCTCCCCAAGAAACACGGCCTGTATCTTTTGCTTCAATTTATATTTTACATTGGACTGTGTTGAAGCATTGATTGGTTGCTTAAGCCCAGTTTATCAACCGTTCCAGACCACTGGGTGTCAGAGCCATATTTTTTCTTGATTTATGTCCCTTCTAGTCTTCATACAGTGGCAAACTTTTAATTAATGCTTTTATGTTTGCTTCTATGTATTACGAAAGAACGAAATGGTTCTAGGACAAGAATCAAATCCCGAGAACACAACTGGATGACGATTCCCTGTTTACAGTTATGTTCTGAGATCTCTGATTTTTTTTTTTTCTTTTCATCAATGTCAGTGCTTTGTATCATGTTGGGTTTTTTTTGTATGATATTTTAGAATGCTCTGTAGAACAAAGTCAAATACTGCAGAGACTTTGAAATGTAATACAATTATACTGTTACCAAATTCGTAATATCGGAAAAGATGATAACTGTATTAGTTTGAGTTCTATTTCCAACAACTGCATTATCCTACTCCTCAAATTTTTGGCAAGTCAGTTCTCTTACTAGCCATGCCGTTATGTTGTCAGAAGTGAAATCATGCACTTAGTTTTCCTTATAGTTGCATGAGTTATCCTTTATAAAACATCAGTGCAGAATTAGATTTTTTTCTGTCTACTGGAAACTTCTTGAGCATTGCAAAGTATTTAAAAGTCAGTGTTGCTGGTCCAGTGATCAATTTAACAATATTGTTATTTAACAATAAACTATTTATAAAAAGTGCCTGGAGAGATTTAGAATGAGTAATTTCAGCAAGAGTAAATAGCTTTTTTTTTTTTTTTTCCCTGAAGTAACATGAACTATTCTCTTGTATCAGTGTACTGGGTTTTGTTGTTTGTTTTTTTTTTTCCGAAGTGTGGATGCTAACTGTTTATTGAACGATTGTACTTCATTATTGATAGTTTTTCTGTTTTCGCATGGTAATAGTCAGTGCTTTTACTACAGTTCACATTACAATGTTGTCTTGTGTTCTGCTGACTGTATGTATTCTTCCCCTCTAGCTTCTAGTTGGTATAAACTGTTGTCAGTTTACACACATGTGTTCATATATAGTATAACAGTAGCTCAATGATAGTAATGATGAGGCTGAG